GTTAAATGTCTGCTGTGATAAAACGCCACCTTGTTTACAACCACGTCAAGGATATTTCTGAAACAGCATGGAGCTCAAATCCTTTTCTCTTGCAGGTTTATCACAACTGGTAGTTCCTTTCTGATTGTTCCTGCTTTTTAAAACACATTGCTTCTACAGTTACAGCTTAAGCTCTGAGTGTCTAGCGGGCTTGCTAAATGTAAACAAACGACGAAGTATTAGCGCTCCAAAACACGTCAGGGCCATTGCTTTTTCTGATAGCAACTCTCTGTGGCGTCCGCTGCCGATTTGACGTATTCGCGATGCGAATCTGGTGTCTGCCGTTTGTGACACCCGTTTTTAAAAGATTGGGTACGGGAGGAAAAAGAGAGAGGGTTTTATTTTCTGGACGCCTGCGTGAGTGTCCCCGACGCACCGGGGACACATATTTATGTTATAATGACATCAACAAAAGTGCCATTTCGCTGTGGATAGCGTCCCCTTTAAGTTCTTCAGCGGATTGCACAGAACCAATGCGTCCTAAACAACAAAGTAGATTTGGGGCTGGGTTTTGGTGTCTGGCTGACCGGCCTGTGTGGGTTATGCACACAGCACTTGGTACGCGATGGTGTTACGAAGCCAGCATTAATGCGCAGCCAAAATGATTAATGTCGAGCGCTGAACTGGTTAGTTTTAAGAACTTAAATCTTTTGGCCCAAAGAGGGCTGCTTTGTTTATCCAATCTTCAGCCCCTCCAGAGCAAGACGCTCTGAACTGCCACCTGCTGGGGTTAAAAGACGGTGACATAAGACTGAAGCTTCTTGCTCTGCCAGGCCTCTGAAAGGGAAGTGTCAGGGCGAACTGGGATGTGGGAACGTTGGCCGGAGCCAGGCTGATGGGTAGGCGCCTGCTCTTGTCCTGCTTCAGGTTCTTGTGTTTTCACTAGGAAAGAACTTTAGTGACAGAAGTGTTATGCAATGAAGGAGGCAAGCGGACCGTGGTGCCATTCAGAGTTCATCTTATCGCCAGAAACTGGATCTCCGCGGGACGACATATTTGGTTTATCGCTGATGGACATCAAATTAGCCTGGGGAGGCGGTGCTTTTAGGAGAACCGGTAACATCCTTCAGAAGGCAATCAGATGTAACTGCAGCGATTAGAAGCTATGTACTTCAACGTGGGGACACCAATAAGCGACTTTCAAGAGGGCTGAAGCTCACAGCCTTATTTTCCTGCCTTTCCCATTTCAATGTTAAAGCGTTGCTTGAAAATGCTGTCATTATGTTCTGCATTTTCAGTCAAACCAAAGTTCCTGTGTAACTATACTGAACATAAGAAAAAAAAAAAACAGAAAAAAAAAAAAAAAAAAAAAAAAAAAAAAAAAAAAAAAACAAAAAAAAAAAAAAAAAAAAAAAAAAAAAAAAAAAAAAAGAAAAAAAAAAAACAACGGCGGTAAAGCAATAAAAATGCCAACGCTTTGGGGGTTGAAATGGAGGAAAAAAACCTCTGTCAAATTTAAAAATGTTCACTTGAATGAATGAAAAATAATCCGGTGTTGGCTTTGCATACAAGCTGAATTGGATTGAATGAATATATCTCAAATAAAAATAGGCTGCTTTAATCTTAGTATTGCGTTTTTTTTTTTTTTTCGGTCAATAACTGCTGCTATACGCTTTTCCAGATGACCATTATGTTACAGACATTCTCTTGGGTTAGAAGATCTACAATCAAATGACTGATATACATGTCTGCCGCCAAACAATATGCATCACCATTGGCTGAGTGGGTATGAGCTCAATTGCTAAATATATACAATAGTGATTTTGATTGGTTTACAGGCATATTACATTTTACTGAAATTGGTTGCGCATTGGCACCTCATTAGCCTATGTTAGTGTCTGGTATTTTTAGGTCTGGTGCAATAATGCTTTGTGGGGCAAATAATTCCAAAATCGAATCCACATATTTATATTTATATGATGTGACAACCTACTCGTAGGTGCCCCAAAAGTTAAAAAAAAATCTACATATTACCTAAAACGGCAATAAATCCCAGCAAAAAAATGTTCTTGAATGTTCTGTTCTTTAGCGTCACTGCTCTATGAGTATGTGTATACATACGGGTGATGGGTGGCTGTGTGCTTGTGTGTGCTGTGCCGTGGTGCGTGTGTGTGTGTGTGTGTGTGTCTCACCTGCTCTTCAATGTAAGTCGACGATGTGTTTCACCCAGGCGCAGGCAACCTCATTTTGGCCGCGGAGTGTGTGTGCGCCGCTCACATCCTCCAGAGGAACGCCCAAAAACACGCGAAGTGCCTTGCTGAGCTCCCGCCTCGTTGCCTTGGCAACGGAGACACGCTCTTCCTCATGGCCTCCTCCTCACCACAACCCCGCCAAGACCTCACGTCTTCAGGAAAAAAGAAGGAGGGTTATTCGAAAGTGCAGCGTGGTAAAGACACGTGTCATCTTCAGTCATTTGGACAAATAATGGAAAAGAGAAGCCTATTGCGTGCAAGTTGCTGTGCTATTCACAAGCAAAATAATTAGAAACAGCACCGGCAAAAATGTGGGAGTGGCATGTTTTACACACCGTTACGTGTGTGTGAACCTACCTTTCTCACACTAAACCAGGGAAGAAAAGGAGGAAGGGAAACCGGAGAATAGAGAGCAGCAAAAAAAAGATTTAAAGGAGGAAGAACAGGTGGAGGAGGAGTGCAAAACAAAGTTAATTATGTGTCTAGGAATGGGGAAGTCTATGACTGTTACAAAATAAAAAAATAAAAAAGTTGTTTCTAAAATAGTGAACAACGCCCTAATAACATTCTCGTATTCAAAGGTCCAGTGTGTGGGAGGAGAAAATTCATTCTAGAGACTTAATGTAGTGCTGCATTTTGGGAGCAGGCGGGAAAAGAAGGCGGGAAGAGAAGGAGACAGAATCAGGTAAGGGGGGGGTGCTGTCTGACAGGAATTCTGTCTATGTTCCTGGTCTGGCTTTTACGTCATGTTTTAAATTATCATTTATTTACTTCATTACGTATACTTTTACACTTTACTGTTGACCATTGTGACTTGTTTTTTTCTAGATTGTTTTATTAACTTGTTACTACTTTGATCATCCTCATTTGTTTGAAGGGTGCTTTATCAACGAAGTCTGATTGATAAGCTATCTGTCACGATCTTAGTTTTATGTCACGATTTGAGTTTTGTCTGTCTTGTCGTGGGTTTTATTTTGCAATTCCCTGCGTCTCGTCTTCCTTCCTGTGTTTTCTCTCCTGTGCCTGATTGTGTTCACCTGTTGCCCCTGTGTTTCTGCCTCCCCTGCCCACTGTGTCTTGTCCTGTGATTACCCTTCTTTGTATTTAGTCTTGTCTTCCCCTGTGCTCCATGTCGGTTCATTGTCTTTCCTGTCTCCCTCCATGTTGCTCACGGTCAGTTTTTGTTTGGTTGCTACCTGTTTATTTTATGTCATGTTTTTTCAGTCATCAGCTTTACAAAATAAAGCTCGCCTTTTGTTCCTTGACCTTTTTTTTTAATTCTGCCTTTGGGTCCTACCTTTTCCCGAATCCTGACACTATCTGGCTAAAGTTGCACACACTGATTTCCCTCTGCACAAGGTAGTATTATGTCATTTTCTTACAACCATTTGCTCTCAAAGTGGATGATTTAATTACATAAACATGAATCAGTGTGGGTGAAAGTCAGTTGTTATATAATCCGCATACAAAGGCCATTACTTTAATTTAAGTCTTATCCCTACAGTATTTGTCATGTCCTCTTGTCATCATCACTCCTTAGTTACCATGCAAAGGCGATGCTGTGAAAGCTGAGTCAGAGAATGAGACGTAAATCGATGCAAAGCGAGAAAGAATTGGCAACATTCATTTCAGTTTTCAGTTTGACTTTGATGATGGTCGCTTGGTGAGTAATCGGAAAACAAACAGTGGCAGATGGAGTCCAGGAGGAATATTAGCAAATGTTTGGTCTCATTTCAATTGAATTAAGGTTACACAACATCTCAAATAATATTGTGTTTTGTTTTAAACATCACATTAAATGGATGCCCACGCGATCGGTATCGGCCGATACTGATTCCGGCGATCGGCCCCAAAATTGGCGATCGGAGCATCCCTAACTGTAATATACAAATCGTTTTTATAGCAAAGTGTGTGTGTGTGTGTGTGTGTGTGTGTGTGTGTGTGTGTGTGTGTGTGTGTGTGTGTGTGTGTGTGTGTGTGTGTGTGTGTGTGTGTGTGTGTGTGTGTGTGTGTGTGTGTGTGTGTGTGTGTGTGTGAGAGAACTCACCGTGCAGCAGTGAAAGTGTATCCTATGCTCTCCCCCTCTAGCCAGTGAACCACCAAACCCTCTATGGCTGCTTCAGGTTGTGGCAGAAGATGAGCCGGTAGTTCCTCATTGACGGACCGCTAATCCCCCTTGCAGGATTCCCTAATATCTGCACTGAGGAGAGACAGAGGGGGACGAGAAAGGGGAGGGGGAACAAAAGACAAGGAGATAATAGAGTGAAAAGAAGAAGGTGGGGAGGGTAGACAGAGGTGGAGAAAAAAAAGACATCTGTTAAGTTACAAACATCTGCTTAGTTAGTGCTTTCTATTGTAATAAAATGCAGTTTTTAAAGATGTTCCATGTAGATATATGTTCTGTTCTCAACGCCTTTTGTCAAGTTGGCTAGATAAAATAAATTATGAACAAAACCGTATTAAACATTTATACAAATTGGAGGCAGGTGACCAAAGAGACAACAAATAATGGCAAAAGATTGCATCACAGAATGAGCGTTGACAACATTTTAATTCTAACATAAGGTATTTATGGCAAAATATACTAGATAAGTAGAAAAAAAGCCTCTGATCCGACAATGACTAAACCATTTGCACCTTCCTGTCTTTTCCTTTATCCACTCCTCTCCTTCTGATCTAATCTTATCCTCCTACTTCGAGGAACGAGATATCACGTCGTCTGAATTCAGCGTCAGCTCGAGGCGAACATCGAAATGATAATTACCAGAAACAACAAAAAGTGTGATCGCTGTGTGTGTGTGTGTGTGTGAGTTCTGCATTTCATGGGCATGTCCGTACATGCCCTTGTGAATGTGGGGAAAACTGTCACATCGGATCCGTGTATGTTAGGTGTGTTGTTTGCTGCAAATTGAATGAGAGTGTGTTATTTCATATGGTAGCGGTATACCTGTGAATGAGCATGTGTTTGATGGATAAGGCTGTCAAAAGTGTGCGTTGTAGAAGGGTGTTATATGCAAGATAAGATTAAAGGTGGTCCCAGTGAGCATGAAGAGAAAAACAGTCCCTGCCTGTTTGAGAGTGTGGCCATAATATGGTCAAATATTAAAGACACAGTGACAGTACTTCTTCTAAGAGTCAGACAGAGAGTGATTTAGAAATGTGATAAAAGGGAGTGAAGAAAAATCATATTGATTTAGTATTTAAGTATCAAGTGATTTGAATTGTTCAAAGCTAAAAATTACAAATGATATTAAAAATACTTTTTCCATGCAAAAGTGGCAGGAAATGCTGAATATCTTTTCTTTTTTTTTGACAAACATAGTACGAGGGCAATACTGTGGCACTGATCTTGTACATAAGATATATAAATTCTCGAGAGAAGATGGCGCCCGGATACAAAATGGTGCCGCAGACGTAAACAACACCGCGTCGTCGGAGAACAAAGCTGTCTATGCTGTCTGACGGTCTATTCGGCAGGATTTTCATATATTCTTTTTTAATCATAAAGTTTTTGACCAGCAGAAATATTATTTTCTGGCATCACTTTAACATTTTACGGGGGAAGTCTGCATTTCGGTATGAGGGCGCACATTGAAAGTAAGAGGGCGCAGCCCCCCTGTTAGGACAAAATCCTGGAATATCTTTGACCTTTTTATACATTCACTGGAGATACATCACATTGGACTACGAGACACTCGAAATAGTTAATGTTCTCTATTTTTTCTGAGAAAATTGTTTACAACCATTATTTCATCAGTCTAGAAAAGAATCGTCTGAGTAATGGAAGATAGACGTTTAGTATATCAGCCCTAGTTAGGACCAGATATTGCTTGGCACGGTGTGTTATATATGAAGTTAACTTAACCCAAGCAGGATTAATCTTCACCTCCCACCAATATGGGTGATTTTCCATCTCTGGGATAATATTTCCTTTTCGCTATGTTCCCATTTCGCGGTCTTATATGGTGAATCCTTTCAGTGAATACCTGAGAAGTGTTATAATTGATATGGCCTCTTACTGAACTCTGAGAAATGAAGAAGGGGTAAACAAACTTTTTATTTTTAGCCGGCTGAAGAACTGAATTTCATTTTCAGGTTAATACCAAAGCTTATTAAACGGGGGTTTCAGAATCTTGTGTTTGCTCATGAGGATTTCTGAGTCCTCTAAAGCCATTCTTCAGCTGCCTCTGTTCTTTCCAAGACCAACTGAACTGGCACTGCCGGGTCCTGAGCCTCTTTAAAAAAGCTAAAGAAAATCCCACTGTTGGAGCAGAAATTCTTGTATTTGTGAGGTCCCTTACAATTAAAACCCAAAATAGGTACCACAGACCAGATAGCATTGTTCTCAGCTAACTGAATAAATAAGAAAAAAAGGATAACTACATACTGTTGATTATAACAGCCAACAAGGGACCTAAAAAGCACAGTATCATAGTGCAGACTTCTTTTAAGCGAGGGTGGTCTTTTGATTTTAAAACATGACACACTTGGGCTGTAGCAGACAGAAGAGGACAATGACACTCGGAGATTAAGGAACTCAATGTTCCCAAACCAGCGTCTCGTCTGCATTGAAAACTGACCTTAAAAAGGCCTGTGTAGTGAGGATTTGGTCAGTAATGGAACAGTCTAGAATAGCTCTGTCTGTGTTTCCTTCTGTCTGTCTGTGTGTCTTAATCCCCGATATCATGCTTGACGACCTCCCGCTCAACAATGAGGCCCATTGTTAGAAGGGAAACTGAGAAAGTTGAGGCGGTGCACTAAAGAGTGAGAAAGAGAAAGTAAGTGAGAAAGAGAAAACGTAAAGTCTGAAGAGCAAAAAGCCCATGGGGAATTTGAGAATACGGAGAAAGGTTTATAAGGGAAGACATATAACTAAAGAATGTTCAGACATAAGTCTGTAAAAAGGGTTAGTAAACCTCATTCATTTCTGTTAGATTACTCTGTACCAGGTAAAGGGTTCTTCTACTCTTTACATAGCAATCATCAAAGCTCAATAAACTGTCACAAGACATCTAGAGCTGTCAAATGTTTGCTCATAGCTTTATAAACGCTATGCTGTGTTCTGGCATCTGATAAGCTTTCAATCTCCTGGATGTACAACTCCAAACTTTTTTTGTCTCACCGGAAATAAAGCAATACACGACACTCACTTTTTTCTAAACACAGTGCTGATATTGGCCTGAACACTCAGTAGGAATACAGTGTCAAACATCTGATTCTCTACCCCTAACAAAGACACCACAGGTTAGTGCAAGCTTTCCAATAGTCTTAGGTTAAATGCTTTGTTTAATCCTGTACCAGTCTATGACAAAAATAAATATATATGATATTTGAGCTTCTAAATCAAATCAAAGTTTATTTATAAAGCACATTTAAAAGCGATTTTTGGTCGGGCCAAAGTGCTGTACATGTAATAAATACTACAGTCACAATAAAAGACAATAAATTACAACAGATATATAAAAAACAGGGAAAAGTCAGGAGTCGTGCTCCGCTCTGACTAAAAGGCCAGGGAGAAGAAGTGTGTTTTAAGAGTAGATTTAAAAACCCCCAGGGTCTGGGCCGACCTCACATGGAGGAGCAGAGTGTTCCAGAGCCTGGGGCCAGCTGCTGCGAAGGCTCGGTGCCCTCGGGTTTTGAGCCTGGTCTTGGGCACTGTCAGCAGCAGCTGGTCACCAGACGTTAAAGCTCTGGCTGGGGTGTGGCGATGGAGGAGTTCAGCTATATAGGCCGGAGCCAGCCCATTTAGTGCTTTAAAAACAAATAAAAGGAGTTTAAAATCAATTCGGAACCGAATTGGAAGCCAGTGCAGTGAGGCCAGAATTGGGGTGATGTGGTCACGCTTTTTGTGGCCAGTGAGTAGACGTGCAGCTGCGTTCGGCACTAGCTGCAGGCGTTTAATTGACGCCTGGTCCATACCCACGTACAGAGCCAACCTCGAGGTAACAAAGGCGTTAATAACCCTTTCTAGGTCTAAGAGGTAGAAGGGCACAGAAAAAAACATTGACGAAAGAAAGCAGATTGTCTGGTATGGAAGGGTACCTGTATCTTGATTCTTGATGTTGACTCGCACTAAGTTCTCAATAATGGCTCAACCACAGTAGTTGCGGCAGTCAATTTAAATAAGCCTACTGTATATCAGATTTCAGTTTGCTTCTAAAAGCGGCACCTGCACATACCCGGAGATGAAGCACTCTGCAGGGTGGCAGCAGTTAGCGCAAATGTGCTTTAACGGAGACTTCACTGATTCAATAACTACAATACACTTTGAACCTGTGAGGTATACTTAAAAAATACTTAATATTAAACACACAGCAACAAAACGAGCCGATTTAGACATACCCTGGCGTCCTCGATAATTTAATTTAACTGAGTGATCCCGTTACTAATTCACTTAATATTAGTTATTGGGGAAAAACATCGCAGAAGTAAGCAATACCTTCTTCTGCATGAACAAACAAAAGAGTACACTCATATTTCATGAAGGCAGCTTTATGAGAATAAAGTCAAAGAGTCATATGAGAATACAAACCCTGCTGTGATTAATCTGAGATCTGCCAAATAGCCTCAGTGCTATCACAACAATGTGCACAACCAAAAAACGGAAGATTTAATATTCAAAAAGAGGTCATAAATAAATCATCTAATTTCCTCCGAGTTGGGTCATGTTATGAAATCCTAAAAAGATCAAAGCGGTTCAACTCTGCCTAGTTTATCATCAGTGGGCTGACTGTCCTGGTCAACTTGAATCAGAGGAGTTTAAAGTCAAAGAGAGAAAGGTCGGACCGCAGGAGTTATCTTCAGAAGTCAACATCGATCACATTCCTGCTTCAAAGAGGACGATCCCCAAAGGGTAAGAAATATATAGGTAAAGGGATGATTAAAAGTGTATAACAGTTCACAAACGAGAACCTCACAAACAAACAAATCTATAGAGAAGTGAGTTAAGTGTGTTTACTTAAATCTTTGAACAAGCAGAACAACAGCTCTAAGCAACAGACATAAACTCACTGACCTTTGGTCGTAAAGTCCACTGCAGATCGAATGTATTTCTGTATTTGTCTACTGTGTTGGGTTATTAGGAGCACTAACCACACGTACAACCTGTGACTCTACTAAATGACTTCCTTGTTCGCTCTGGTATGACTGGTCAGATCCAAACAATGACACACCTTTAAAAACACACAGTGTGCAAAAGTG